TAGCTATGTTTAACTCTGTTTGACTCAGGGTGATATGGGGTCTTTCACCTCCTGTGTTAGGCAAATTCTCTAACGTTTGTTTCCCTATGTCATCAACCCACAAAAGCACGAAGTTAATATTGTGCATAAAGAAATCAAGTCAAACTCTTTGATCACCTCGCCCTGAGCGGGAAGCAGCCTTACCAGGCCACAGAGGAAGACAATGCAGCCACTCCTGATGAAAGCTGATAGACTAGGATCAGAAGGAAGGAGAGGAGGACCTCCCCTATCAGTGGACTTGGGGAGGGGCATAGGTGGAGAAGGGGGAGGGAGGGTGGGACTGGGAGAGGAGGAGGGAAGGGCTTATGGGGGGATACAAAGTGAATAAAGCGTAATTAATAAAAAAAAATTTAAAAAGAAATCAAGTCAAATGAAGGCCATGGCTAATTTTTTTAATATTCAAACTAACAACTATTATTTGTTAATATTTTTACATATGTTAACCACATTTTGATGGAAAAAGAAACTATACTGTTTTAGGGTTTTTTGGTTTTTTTTTAATTAAGATCTGTCTATCTTGCTACTTTTGAAGGTAAACATTTTACGTTTAATCTGTATATTATGAAATAAAATATGGCACAGATTAAAGTCTTATCTTATGGAGAACCACAGTGATTTTTCTGAAAAGCACTATTTATTGAGGGAGGGAGGTAGTGTCATTGTGCATGTGGAGGTCAGGGGACAGCATTTGGGAGTTGGTTCTCTCCTTCCACTATGTGGGTCCCAGGATCAAACTTGGGTCATCAGGCTATTCTTTTTCCATTCTTTCATTGGGTTCTGGAGATGAAATTCATGCTTGCAAGGCAAGCCCTTTACTGAATTATTTTCTCAACCTCATAGTGACCTTTTATTTTTTAAAGAATGATTAGACACTAATTCAGAAACTCAGGAGAACTAAAGTCAGTTGGAATGGATATTTTTAATTAATTGTTTGTTTGTTTCAGGCTGCGTGAACTTTTAGCATCAGAAGAGAATGAGTATTTTACTGAAATGCAATTGAAAGGAGAAACCATTGAAGAGAAAAAGAACAGAATGAGAGAGAGAACCAAATTATTAAGAGAGAAGAAGGAAAAAGAGAGGCAGGATTTTGTAGCTGAAAAATTACATCAGCAATTCAGGTAATAAATTGGAAGAGTATATAAGCAGAATATGAGCACAAGCTTGTTACATAGAATATTACAGAGAGAATGCCAAAACAGCTGTGGTAGTCCAGGAAAGGAAGCTGACACAATGCTCTCTTCAAAAAAAATAGTGACTATTGAGGAGAAAGAGCCTCAAGAACATGATGGGATCCTTGAGGTGGGAGAGAGAATATTAGATAGAAAACAGTATGTGGGAATACACAATGGGGGTCCTTAAAGGGGAGGGGTGAGAGGAGAGTGAGAGAAAGGAGAGGGAAAGAGAGAGGACAGGGAGAGAGAGAAGGAAGAGAGTGAGAGGAAGGAGAGGGAGAGAAGAAAGAAAGAGGCAGAGAGAAGAGGAAGAAAGGGAGGGAGAGAAGGAAAGAGAGGAGAGGAAAAGAGGAGAGGGAAAGAAGAGAGGGAGGGATGTTGGTGTAATGTTCCTGTAGAATGTATACAACTTACCCTTGTTCATTCAAATGCTGATTTCTCTACTCCACTATCTGGTTTTAATGCGGACATTGTATTGTGATGCTTATTCTAAGCATCACCTGTTGTGTAAACATGCCACCATTTGTTCTCTGTAATTGTCAATTAAACAACCAGCCAGTGCTATGCAATGGAGAGAATAGGGTGGGACATCCTGGTCTAGAGAGGAGGAGAAGAAAGCTAGTGGGAGGTAGGAGAGCAGAGATAGGCAGGAGAGGACTTGGAACCATGAGGAGAGATGAACTAGACCCAAGATATGACTGAAAGCAAGTATAATGTGCGAAATTTGAATGGGAGGAAATGATTTGGGCTTGGAAGTTTAGGATGGTGTAACTATTGCCCAGCATTGTGTTCTGGGTTAACTAAATAAATCCTAGTTTCTGTGTGCTGATTTGGGTATACAGCTGGTTTAGGAAGAACTGCTGCTTAACTAAAAAATAAATCAATATTAAACTTTAACCTTCAACAACAGAGGGAGGAGAGGGAAAGAGAGAGGGAAGGGGATAGGAGAAGTAGAGGGAGGAGAGGAGAGAGAAGGGGAAAAGGAGGAGGTAGAGAGAGAGAAAAGGAAGAGAGCCCCCCTCCCCACTCCCCAGAGCATCTGGGATAAGTGGGAGTTGGGCACAGAGGAGTCTCTTCAGAGAAAGTCCCTAGAACAACTGCAAGAACAAAGGAAAACACCAGATTTTATAACTTTTGGGAGGCCGGTAGAAGTGTCACATCAGTGATTTAGTTTGACAAAGGACACAGAAGAGCCAGGACAAATTAAGAGCTGTCAAGAGCACAGACTGCTTTTGAATTCTCTGTGTACCGGAGGTAGCTTGGGCGGCAGGGGGGGGGGGGGCTGTGGAAGCTGGCCTCTTTAAGAGTGACCACTGTCGTAAAGAGGCAGTCTTCTGTTCTAACTGATCTATTAAAATGATTTAGGAATGCTAACCATCAGTAGCTTAGAAGATGCACGCAGTAACCACACTCTGAATCTTGGTAATCATATCATAGGTCACTTAAAACACACGTGCTCAGTTTGTCTTAAAATCCTGCTCTGACACTCTGTACCTGCCTCCTACCAGCTGCCAAATAAGATATTACTTATCAACCTCAGTGCTGATGTTGGAATCAAGTTTTTTGAAATCCGGTAGCCAGCATTTGCTACTTTGTAGGATCTTCTTTCTTCCACCCTTCTCCAGTGTTTTTCTTCCACCCTTTTGACCCTAATACTAGGTAGGAGAGAAAAAAGGATAAAGAGGAAAGAGGTGGATGTTATAATTACACTACTTCCTGCTGATTAGGGATGTTTCGATCCTTAGGGCAAGTTTGCTCTTCGAAGTCAGGATATCTAATAATTTCTCCTTCTCCTCCTCCTCTTCTTTGTGCATGACTACTTAACAAATTGCAATCAACAGCAAACAACAAGCTACAACAATCTACCTTGCTTCTCAGGGCCCCAGCATTTTTATACCCTTTGAAAAGTCCCCAGAATTCCAAACATCACACAATCAAAGAAAACTATCTGGAGCTGGCAAAATCATGTCCCTGCTAGAACACAAGGCAAATCAAAATCAGCTGTTGTGAAGCAGCCCCATATCTCCACACCTGGGATTAAGACAAAAACACATTCTTATAAAAATTCTGTTTTTAAAGAAACCAAAATTCCAAAATTCTCACTAGAAAACACTGTCCCAGGAAGTCTTTGATAAAATTGGTCTGTCCCTCTGCTGCTGCTGTTTCCACTTCTGCCAAATATATGGTAGGTCCCTGTTTATTATTGTCTGATTATTGCTGGTCCATGATGCTTTCTGATCAGCTGGACTTCTAATCCACTTCCTGACACACACTACAGAGACCCTCCTGACACAGACTAGAGAGACCCTTTGTTTTCAGATCCTTGGACTCTTTTTAACATAGACATTAAGAATTGCAATCATGGAGTTAAGAGCTGTATCCTGCTCTTACAGAAGCCTCAAGTTCTATTTGCAGCACACAGATCCAGCAGCTCATAACCATCTTTAAGCCAGCTCCAGGGGATCTGATGCTCTTTTCTGGATTCCACTGGCACCTGTCCTCATGTGCACATCCCCACATATAGACAGAAACATATATACATAATTAAATAATGAAAAAAAATCTGTAAAACTTGCTATTATATTTCTCAAGTTGGTTTCTTCATTTTAGTTTCCTTTTTTATTCAAGTCCTTTAATGTAGTAATTGTTACATGATATGATTATTAGTTTCATGTGTCTTTTAATTTTAAGATTTTAATTCTCAGAAGGGATTTTAGAATTTTGGTATTTCCTGAAACTGTTTAAAACATAATCATTAGCCCTTTTTATTCACTTTATTATTTTTATTTGTTATTTTATCATTTTATATTTGTGGACATTTTGCCTTTATGGATGTAAGTGTACCACCTATGTACTTAGTGCCCAGAAAGGCCTTGGAACTGCAGTTAGAGATATCTCTGAGCCTCTGTTTCATTGCTGGAATCAAACTAGAGTTTTCTACAAGAGTATCAGTGCTTTTTGTTGGGTTTCATAGTAGGGACAAGAGCCTAAGTGAGGCAACTATTTAACATATCAAAGCAGACCTGGCTTCCAGATTCTCCCAGCATCCCTCAGTCCCTCAGTTGCAGGGTATGGCTGGCATATCCCACACTCTGTCCTGAACTTTTCAGCCCAGGGACTGGGTTTCCCCTCCCCCGAGTCTCCTCCCTATATAATCCAGACATTTTTTAAAATCTCTGTCTCTGTCTCTGCAGTTCTCTCTCCCTGTGTGAGCATGCTCTCTCTCTCTTTCACTCCCTGCCCCTACCTCCATGGTAACTTTACTGACACTCTCCTATTAGGTCAGTGAACTCCCCAAGAGTTGCCCCCATTATAGCTGACCTCATACTTTAATTTGGCTTGAATTGGCTTATTTCATTGGCAGAGAAAACCTATTGCTTTTAACTGATGAGCCATCTCCCCAGCCCAAATGCATACTTTTTGAGATAAGGTCTACCATTGTAATAGGATAGCTTTAAACTCATTATGCAGGCCAGGCTGACCCTGCATTCAAGATATTCCTACCTCAGCCTCCCAAGTGCCAGCACACTTGGCTTCAATAAATATGTTTGAGATTTTTATCAAACTCTTTGATAGAATAGTAGCTTGATTGACTTAAGAGAAATGTGTATCAGGTTCTCAAGACACTGTGTATGAGTCTGGCAAAGGGTATGTCTTCTTAAGCTGCGTTCAGGAACTAAGAGTAACTTAAGTTATAAGGTCTAAGAGTAATGTAAGTTAAATGGCAGAAGACACAGGGAATACAAGAGATTATTTTCATAGCACTTAAACTTCAAGTAGTCAGAAATTCAAAGGCCAGTCAGTATGAGAAAGCAGCAATATCAGATCAAGATGTGGTCCAGAGGACCTTTCTGTCACTGACAACAGTTTATAGGATTTCCATTTCACAATATACACTGCCCTAATCATTCCTACTAGAGGCCAGTAGGAAAAGTAAGTTGCTACAGGGGGTAGTGGGCACAGGCTTGCAGGCACAGCTGGTAAGAGTAAATTCAGACCAAGAAACCTAGAGGGAACATATTTTTGGGCAGGTGTTTTAAAGATGAGGCAGCTGAGCCGGGTGTGGTGGCACATGCCTATAATCCCAGCACTTTAGGAGGCAGAGGCAGGTGGATCTCTGTGAGTTTGAGATCATTCTGGTCTAAGTGAGTCTAAGACAGCCAAGGCTAAACAGAAACCCTGTCTCAAAAAACAAAATAAAACAAAACAAAAAGATGAGGCAACTGGTCCAGATGAGTTAATTCTGTTTTGTTTGTTCTGTGTAGCTCTGGATGTTCCAGAACTCACTATGTAGACCAGACCAGGCTGGCCTCGAACTCAAAGAAAACTGCCTGCATTTGCCTCTGCCTCTGCTCCTCTGCCCCTCTGTCCCTCTGCCTCCTGAGTGCTGAATTAAAGGCATGTACCACCATACCTAGATAAGTTAAACTTTTGACTGAAAGTCATGCAAGAATTGGCAGAGCAAGTATTCAAAGCCTTTTTTTTTTTTTTTTTTTTTTTCTGCCTGAGAGTAGTGCTTGTATTTGTGGCTGTCCTTTTAGATTTGCCTTCCTCCCCACTGCTTCCTCACATTTCTTCCCTCTAGATGGCCTTCATCCGGGTTATTTTGGTTTTCCTTACTCCTGTGCATTACTGTGTAGACATATGCCTAAATAAAGCAGTGCCTCATGAAATGCTGGGGTTTGCCTTTTTAAATGTCTCTTTCAGGGAACACTGTGAGGAGCTCCGCAATAAATTAGTTGATGTTCATGAGAAAAGGGTAGTTGAGGAGCGGAAAGCACAGATAGCATTCAACAAGGAGCTGAAAAGGCAAAAGCTGGTGGAAGAGCGTATGTTTGCACAACTCTGGGAGGAAGACAGATTAGCCAAGGAAAAGAGAGAAGCCCAAGAAGAGAAGAGAAGGAAAGAGCTGGTGGAAAATACACGCCTGGGGCTGAATGCTCAAGTCACCAGCATTCTGGCACAAAGGCAGGCGGAACTTCGGATGAAGGAAGCAGAGGGCCGCTTCCTGGTGAGCCCTCTCAGATGCCCTAGTGATGTGCTCTGTGGGTATAGCAGTTTTCCCCACTGTTAATATAGTTTGCTTGGAGTTTGTGGCTGGTCCTTTTAAAGCACATTTTCACTGTTGAAGTCTCACTTCTTAATAATAAATGAACAGATGTCTATAGAAATATAAAGCCTGGAACTCTGGGCTAGTGTGTTGAACATAGTGGTGAGTGATGACTGCTGGGACCAAAGATCATTTCCTTTTACACTTTTTTGGTTTGTTTTTGGACTATACACCTCCTTATTACTTCCTTTATAATCACACATAAAGCAGTTTCTACAAAGCTTTACTGCTGACTAAGCTATGTTAAAAAGCAAGCTCCATTTCTACAGCCTCTCCAAATGTAGTTGTGTGCATATATTCCCAAGAAATCTCTTAGGCTCATTCTTACAGCAAATGCGTGAACTTACTTGCTTTACCTAACTATGCTGATTTATCTTCGTTATTCCTCCTTAGGAGCAGAACAGGGCACAGATTAAACTACAGAATGAACAAGAGAAGCTCCAGAAACTGAAGACAATGCAGGAAACTAGGAACATTTTGGAAAAAGCCTTGCAAGAGAAGATAGAGTATATGCAGCAGGAGTATAGAGAGGATACGAACTTGAACATGAAACTTGTGGGAAGGGCCCTTCAAGACTTACAAGAGGAAGAAGATAAGAAGAAGCAAAAGAGAGTAAGATATTTATTTAGTACCTACTAAATGCTGGTCAGGATTGTCTGCTGAGTTATTGGCCTTGTGGGTTGTTACTTTCAGTGTGCTTTCTTGTACAAGGCCCTGAGCTCAGTTTCAATACCAGAAAGGAAGGGAAGGCAGGAGGGAAAAAGAAGGGGAGGGAGGGAGTGTGGAAGGGAGGAAGTTAAGAAGGAAGAAAGGGAAGATTTTAAAAGAAAGCTTCACTCCCCCAAGCAATGCACAAGCACTCTAGTCTGTCCAAATTCTCTTTAGCATTTGATATTGTCACTCTTTTTGCTTTATTATAGTATATGTTGACTAATATCTAATATGGCTTTAATTTGCATTTCCCTAATGGTTAATGATGTTGAACAATGTTTTTTTCTGTTTCTCTCTTTTTTTCTTTTTTTTAAATTTTATTTTTTTCTCCACAATTTATTCATTATATACCCCAATTGAAGCCCCCTCCCTCAACGCCCTCCAGTCACACCCTCCCTTCCTCTTCTCCTCATCCCTTTTCCCTAATCCACTGAATGGGGGAGTTTTCCACTATTGCCATCTGCCCATAGCTTGTTAAGTCTCGTCAGGACTGCCAGGATCCTCTTCCTCTGTGGCCTGAAAAGGCAGCATCATCAGGGGCGAGTGATCAGAGAACAGTCAACTGAGTTCATGATAGAGGCAGCCACTGCTCCCCTCCCTCAGAGATCTACAAGGAGACTGAGCTGCCAATCAGCCACATCTGAGCAGGGAGTCTAGGTCCTCTCCATACATGGTCCTCCATTGGTGCATCAGTCTTTGCAGGACCCCCTGGGCTCAGATCTTTTACTTTTGTTGGTTTCCTTGTGGGGCTCCTGTCCCCTCCATGTCCCTCTAATCCTACCCCTCTGTTCCTCTATAAGACTCCCTGCACTCTGCCCAGAGTTTGGTTCTGAGTCTCAGCATATGCTTTGATCCCCTGTTGGGTGAATCCTTCCAGAGGACCCTGTTTAATGGGATTTTTTTTGTTCTTGTTGTTTTGTTGTATTGTTTTGTTTTGTTATTGCTTTTGCTTTTTAAAGACAGGGTTTCTTTGTGTAATAGTCCTGGCTGTCCTGGAACTCACTTTGTAGACTAGGCTGGTGTGGAACTCACAGAGATCCACCTGCCTCTGCCTCCCAAGTGCTGGGATAAAGGCACGGGTCACCACACCTAGCTGTTCTTATTTGCCCTCTCTAGAATCTTTTAGGGGGAATGTCTGTTTATGGATTACTTGTGATTCTTGTTGATGTTCAGATCAACCCATTGTAAGGCAGTAGTATTCCCATTGAAAGTGTGCTGGTAACTGCTTGGGGGAACGCTGAGAAAGTGTTTGAATGAACTTACTCAAAATGTGTTCTCAAACATTTCAAGCACATATGAAGAACAAGCTTCAGAAACTTTCAGCTAAAGTACATTCCTATATTGTCTATACTTACAATCACTTCTGAGTCCTTTGAAGTAAATCCTAGACATAATAGTGTATCAGTGAATGCTTAAGTATATACTAGCACAAGATTAGGATTGTATCTTTTGGAAGACTGCTTTTAAGGCTGCCCTTGGGGTGGACAATATGGCTCAGCAGATAAAGGACTTTACCATCAAGTCTGTTGATTTGAGTTCTTTACCTGGATTGAAAGATAGAGCCTGTTCTTGAAAGCTGTTCTTTGACCTACATACACATACACCATGGCACATATGTGTCCACCCACACATACCACACACTTATATTAAATACATTACCATGTAATTGAAAATTAACTTGCTCTTATTCACTGATATGTTCTAATAACGTAAATTAAATTTTATGTTATGTAGGAAGACATGGGACGAGAACAGAAGATATATAATGACTATCTAATACAACGACGAAAGGAAGAAAAGGCCCAGGAGAAAGAACTGGACAGAATACTAGAGGACATAAAGGCAAAGAAAATGGCTGAGAAAGATCGGCAGCTGACTCTTGAAAAGGAGGCAAGGAAGCAACTCTCAGATGAAGTCATGTGTACAAGAAAACTCCAAGTTCAAGAAAAACGTAAGGAACTGAATTGTATCTATCTTATTTTTTGCTTTTACTTTTTAAAAGTTAGTTTGTTGGGGTTCAGGAATTACCACACACTGACCACTGGGACATGACTCAGATAGATGGAAGTTATTGAACACTTAGCAAAGTCTGACCAGTCAGGGACACAGTCTGGATTTTGGAACCAAGGTTATGACACTGAGCCATTCCCAAAGAGTTTTTAAAGTAAAAAGACCAAAACCAAGCAGTAAGAATCAATTCTATTCCTGGTATTTTGTGTCTATCCAAGCAAGAAGAATTAATTTTTGTTCCAGGGACATTGTATCTAGGTAGCTAGACAAAGCATTTTAAGCTGATTGGCTAGGATTTAGGGTAGGAGAACTTTTGAGGACTTTCCAGCTTTCCTGGAGAAAGGAACATAGCAGGGTGTTGCAGTTTAACTATAGAAGAAGATGCATTTATATTTAACCCAAGCAGAGCATGAATTTATCATCTATTGTCTCATTCTAAAGAGCAAGTACTGAATTATTGAATTTTAAGTAAAGGCTATTCTTGTGTCCAGCAGGCAGAGCCTGGAACTTGAACTAAATTTCACTGTATGATCAAAATGGAGACTAGAGGTAAATGGCTTCAGTTATGCTAAAGACAAAAGCAGGTGTTAACAGAGGAGCTACAATTATGCAAAAAGTTTAAGCAGGCCCTAACAAGTTCTTTAGTTAGCATTCAATTAAAAATGGTGGCTGACTTCAATTCAAAATGACTGTGACATTTTAATACATATTTACCCTTCCCCTATTGTCCTCTCATACCCCTGCCTCTTCCTTTAACAACCAAGAAATTTAAGTACGTATCTGTGAAATTCCTAAGTACTAAGACTTCTGCTTCTGCAAATTTTATCTAATTAGAACACAAGACTTAAATAAATGAGAAACTTTATATCCTAGCTGATACCGCATAGTTCCACAAGGGGTGTTCTCAAGGTCTGAGAACAACGTGTGCTTTGAGTACCATTTACCTTAATGACTATAAAGATAGGAAATGGTGGGATGCAGAGACATGCCTTTCTCCTCCCTTTTATCCGTTTCTCTTTTCTTTTTGAAGTTGTTTCTGTCCATAACTTTGCGTAAGTATTTTTTTAACAGCCTGTGATGTGCTGAATCTTAAGAAATCTGAGGTGTCTTGAAGTCAGTTCAAATGTCTCATTCCCTTGAGACTCTTTATGTTTCCCCATTCAAAATGTATCCTCCCTCCAAAGCTTTCATTATGACGTTTTGACATTTCAGGTGACTGATGGACCAGAAGGGTCTTCATTCAGAGACCATTCTCACAGTTTGGGAGGTCCTCCCCGCCTTTTCTATCTGCAGTCAGTCTACATCAGTTCCTGAGTGTTTCATAAAGACGTTTCAGTTATTCTTATGAGGATGAACTTTAGTTTAAGACTTCTGGAAGTACCTGTGTGCTGAGTTAACCCCATCCCATGGATCTCCCTGAACCAAGCTACCCCTTTCCACTAAGTGACAGTATTAACTCTGTGTTAGAACCCAGACAAGACACTGTCCAGGTCATGCCTCTGTGTAGCTGTGTCTTCATACTTCCTCTAGCTGATTCTGCATACTGGCCCTAGACTAACAAACTCCAAACTGTATGACAAACAAATACACATTAATGAAATGAGCCTCTCCTCCTTACTCATGCCATATCCTCAAGGTCATGTATTCCTTTCTCAAAAGGCAAGACTCACTCTCCTCCCCCTGTTACCTTGGAATCAGAGAGAGTCTGACTACAAGTGTTTGCTGTGAATTACAGAAGCCATAAGGTACCTCTACTCTATACAGGCCTAAGCTCTCCCCAGGGCTCCTGCCATGCTGATATGTGCATATTTTAATAAATATGTGATATTTATTAAAATCAATATTTCATGTAATGAATATCTTACTCAAAAGCGTAATCCACCTAAGTGTCCCTCTTGCTCTCTGAATGCAAAGCCTTTCAGTAAAATGCTCAAAGGGTCTCATGGAGACTATCAATCTCTCAGTCTTAGGATGTCTAGATTATAACTTCTTACAGTTTCCTCATGACCCCTTTCACTCAGGAAATTGTTAAATGACCCCATGCATATGAGTATATAAAATAAATACACAGATCCAACATGAGTTGATAATATATCATATGTACATTTATTTTAAAACAATTCTTTGCTATATATATTTTGTTTGTTTTTGTTTTTGAGACAGGGTTTCTTTGTGTGTAGCCTTGGCTGTCTAGAACTTTGTAGACCAGGTTGCACTTGAACTTAGAGATCTTCCTGCCTCTGCTTCCCAAATGCTGGGATTAAAGGTGTGTGCCAACATACCTGGCTTATTATTATTATTATTATTATTATTATTATTATTATTATTATTTACCATTTATTAACAATAGTTCCTAGCTAGTTTCTTATCTTCTAAAGTTACTTCAGGTTATACACTAATTGAAAGATTTGAAGCCAGTATCCCTATAAGAGAGAGAACATTTGATACTTGTCTTTCTGAGTCTGGGTTACTTTACTTGCTATAATTTTTTCAGTTTTATCCATTTACCTGCAAATATTGTTTTTCCTTATCATTGAATAAAATTTCATTATGTATATTGAAAGAGCAAGAGCAGAACTAATGCCATCTTGTTTTCAGACACCATTTTGAATGGCCATGTCTTTTAGGTGATGCCAGTTACCCACTTCAGGTTGAGGAACTTGGCAAGCAAAAATACCCACAGAAGAAACTTGGCAAATGAAAAATCCCAGGAGGAAGTTGTCAAGAATAACTAGGTTCTGCATCTAGGGCCAACCAATGAAATAAAATTACACCCACAGTTCAGGGTCTTGCCCAGGTCAAGATGTTCCTTTCAGTAGTCTGTTTCCCCCTTGTGGTTTTGCCAGCTGGCTTGAACCAATCAGTTTAAAGGTTAATCTACTCACTCTACTCTTACCTAATCCTGTAACACCAAGGCTTGGAATTCCCTGCTTGTAGTTTTTCTCTTTAAAAACTCTGCCCTCCGGAGGCTAAGGGCCACTTTTTCTGAATTGCTGTGTCAGAGACAATTGATGGCCAGAGCTCGAGCTTGAATAAAGACCCTAGTGTGTTTGCATGGGACTTGTGCTCCTGGTGGTCTGTTGGGGGTCTCATGTCAAACTTGTGTTATCCATTTTTCAGTTAGTGGACATCTAGGTTGATTCTACTTTCTAGCTATTATGAATAGATCTGTAATGAACAAGGAAGTACAAATGTCTCTGCAGGTTCTTATGCCCAGGATTAATATGACAAAGTCATAGGGTATGTCTGCTTATAGTATCTACTTCTAGTTTTCTGAGGAAGCTCTAGACTGATTTCCAAAGAATCTAAAGTAGTTTACAGTCCTACCAGCAATGTGAAAGGGTTCCTTTCCTCCCACATCCACACCATTATTTGCTGTCTTTTGTATCCTTGATCAAGGCCATTCAAACCAGGGGGGGATGGAATTCTTAAAGTAGTTTTAGGCTGAATTTCCTGGCAGCTAATGCTGTTTCTAAGTGTTTCTTTATAATCTGTTTTTTTTTTCTTTTGAGAATTCTCTTCAGTTCCATAGTTCTTTTTAACCAGGCTATTTCTTTATTGAGTTCTCTGTGTACTCAAGTTATTAAGCTCTGCCAGACTGCCCGGACATGGGTTTAAGCTAGTAGAAAGTTTCTATTAGCCAGCTAGTGACTATACAGGTGTTTGGGATCCTAGTGTGGCCCCAAGTCTTTCTCAGAGTGAGCTTTAAACACACCCAAACTACCATATCCTTATGGTTGGTTTGACATAATGGAAGGTTGACATACTTCCATTAACAAGAACAGTTAGCTAGAAATGGAACTACAGAAGCCAAAAAGTGAGGTTTTAGTACATTTAGAGACTTTCCCAGAACTATGGACTTTGATCCAGTAGGTCTTTGTTTTCATTTTTGCGGGTGGTTCTATGTGCTGAGCCTTACTGCCTGAATGGTACTTCCATCATGGAGTCAGCTGTGCTGAGGTCTGGGGACCCAGTAAGTTGTGAGGTTATATAACACTCTCCCCCCATCATAGTGAATGAGTCAGATTGTGGACTTATCCTGCTCTAAAGAGGTATAGTTGGTCCTAAGAACCATTAATTTTACTTAACTGATACATAATTTGCCATATAGCTTAAGATGCAGGGCCCTACCATTAATCAAATCGGAATGAGAATTAAAGGGCCAATCAGTCAGTGCTGATAATAGAGTAGTTGGCCATGAGGACCAAGAGAACAGAGACTGGTACCAATTAGGCAATGAATGTCTTTGTCTCTCTTTTTGAAGTTTTTCCCAACTGTGACAAGATCTTGTTCCTAATTACTCTTGATCAATTAGCATAGAAACAGCAGGTTTTTCCCAAAGCCATACATAAGAAGCAAGTCTAAGCCTCTCCGATTTTTAAGGACCATTCCTATGAGGGAAATGAAGGGTTGTTTTAATTTAGAAACAGATACTTTTAATACCTCTAGGTCCTGAATGCCCTGTCTACTTAGTCCCTTGCAGTTTTATCTCCCATTACAAAGGTTAATGTGTCTATGACTGTCAAGCCAGTTATTCCTTCTTGGACTAGGACTGGGATGAGGGCAGGAACAGTGCTCTCTCTCTTCTCCCCCTCTTTTTTCTCTGTCTCTTTCAATAGTTCAGGATCCATATTAAAATGTATTTCCCTTTATTATATAGGTATACCTGGGCCAGAATGTGTATTCCTTCAGGAATTCTCTCAGGGGCTGGCTTAAGGGCCATAAATTCCTTTAGTTTGTTTTTATCATGAAAAGTTTTTGCTTCCTTTTTGCTCATAACAGATAGCATTAATTAGTATAATTTTCTGGGTTGGAAGTTGTGTTTTTCCAGAGCATCTTTTCCCAACTTTTCTAGCTCTAAATGTATCTTTCCCCAGCTTTTCTAGCTCTAAATATTTCTATCAAGAGCTGCTAAGATGGCTCACTGGTTAAGGATGCTTGCCATTGAGTCTGATGACTTGTGTTTAATCCTCAAAATCCACGTGGTAGGAGTAGAGAACAGACTCCTACAGGTTGTCAACCTGCACACACACACACACACACACACACACACATACACACAATTAATTTAAATGTAATTTTAAAAGCTTTTATAATGTAATCAGCTGCTATTCTAATGGACTGCCATTATATATGAGTTGGCCCTTCTATCTTATACTTTTCAATACCCTTTTCTTAAGGACCATTCATGGGAGAAAACCTAGAACCCCTGCACAGATGTAGCCCATGACAGCTTAGTGTCCAAGTGGGTGTCCTAGTAAGGGGAACAGGAATTGTCTCTGACATGAATTCAGTGGCTGGCTCTTTGATCACCTCCCCCTCGGGGGGGGGGGCAGCCTTACCAGGCCACAGAGGAAGACAATGCAACCATTCCTGATGAGGCCTGATAGACTAGGATCAGATGGAAGGGGATGAGGACCTCCCTTATCAGTGGACTGGTGAAGGGACATGGGTGGAGAAGAGGGAGGGAGGGTGGAATTGGGAAGTGAAGAGGGAGGGAGCTACAGGTGGGATACAAAGTGAATAAATTGTAATTAACAAAAATACAAATAAAATATATCTTAAAAATTAATTTTGCCGAATTATGGGACCTTTTCTGGTTCCATCTATTTGGTATTTTATTGGTCTGTACCTGTAAGGGCATCTTAAGTTTGGAACTTTTTCTTTTATGATTTTATTGAAAATTATTTCTATGCCCTTGACCTGTTATTCTTTTCCTTATTCTGTGGTCACAGTTCATAGGTTTGATCTATTTGTGGTATTTCAGAAACCTTGTATGTTCAGTTCATGCATTAAGTTTTACATTTTCTGAGTACATGATTTCATTCTTCTATGGTGTCTCTACAACCCAATAGTGTTTTCCACATGGCTAATTCTGTTGTTAAGGCTTTCTGTAGGGCTTTTTATGAACTTAGTTTTTCATTTCCAGCTTCATTTCATTTTGAGTCTTCTTCAGTATTTCTCTCTGTATTGAACTTTATTTTGATACCCTAAATTTATTTCCTTATTTCCACCAGATGTTTTCATTTTCTCAGATTTCAAATAGGTTTTTTTTTTTCCTGTCCTCTCTGTTCAGTTTTTGTGTCCTCTTTAAATTCATTGAACTTTTTAATTCATTAATCATTGTTCTTTTGAATCCTGTGTTGTTGTTTTTTTTTATTTCATCTAATCTATTCTTCTTTGGAACCATTACTATGCTATTGGTACTTGGGTTGGGTTATTGTCTTTTTTATTCTTTTTTTTTATTAAATGTATTTTTCCAACAAGTCCTGGGTATATGGAGTTAGCTTTTTGTTTGTGACTTTTGCTATATATTTTTTAGCTTACCAAACCTGGTGACTTTAGTTGATCAGTGGGCCAGACCACTTGGGAGGAGAGTGAAGGGGAGGAGGCAGATGGGAAGAGTAGGCTGGGATGCTTGTGGCTAGTATCCAGAGCAGGATTCCAGGGACAGCGAGGGATCATAAGCATTGGGGATGGAGGGAGTACCTTGCTGGTCCTTGATAAGCAGGTGTAGCCAAGATTGTTTTAATCTGGTATGGAAAGGCCACTCACAGATTTTCAGAAAGTAATGCGAAGAAATCTGTGTGGATCAGAGTGTATAAGAAGCTTCCTTTATTCTAGGAGACAAGTGCTTCTCCTTTTTGCTTTTGAGCTAGGATCCCAGTATGTTACTTTGGCTGGCCCCAGCTTCCTGTGCTCAAACAATTCTCTTCCAACAGATTTTCAAGCAGCTGGAACTACAGGTACCACTCTATGCCTGGCTTGTACTTCTCTCTTCCTTTTAAAAAAATATTTTAATTTTATTACATTTATTTATTTGTCTGTGAATACATGCATGTGTGTGTTCAGGAGTGGGGGATGTATGTGAGCACATATGCATTATGCCACATGTGGAGGTTAGAGACAACTTGTTAGAGTCAGTTTTCTCCTTCCACCATGTTTCAGACCCAGGGACCAAACTCGGATCTTCAGACTTGGCAACCTTTACCCTCTAACCATCTCTTTTGGTCCTACTTCTCTCCAAACTTGATTCAAGATGCACCCCAGCAATCCTAAAGACAATGTGGCTTTAATGCCCAGGCAGATATCAGCAAGTCTTGTTTGGAAAAAAGAATCATTTGTCAAGTAATTTCTCTTGCCTTTTTCAGGGCAACGAAAACTCAAAGAAGAAGAAGAACTTGCTAGGGAACAGGAGCGTATAAATGAAGGCCTGAAGGTCCTTGACTATGAAGAGAGTCAGAATTTTGCCAGGTACAATCTTGTTCTCTTCATTATCATTTGTAATGTAGAGAGATATATATTTAACATAGAGGGTGATGCTTCAGTAATCCATATATTACTGATATTAATTTATATTAATTAATTTATATGAATCTTGGAACAATTCATAAGATTTCATATAAAACTAGATAGACACTATATTAGAAAAATCAAATTCTACTGTCATTGTAGACCTGAATATATATACTGGTTATTAAAACTGGATGAGCATGTAAAATAATAACACCCATTTGCAAGAATTAAAAAATAATAAGTAGTGAGTCAGCCATCTATTACTATAACAAATACTCACAGTAAACAACTTGTAAAGATGTGGGGGCAGGGTTTTCTGCCCCAACCAAGGCCAGCAGAGTAATGATCCATGGGAGGTAATAAGGAAGTTCACACTATGAGAATCTGACCCTGACTAAATTATTTCTGGCCTATTTAAGCACAGCACAATTGGGTGAAGAATTTCCTGGAGACACTTAACTCAGTCCCATGTGCACAATGAAGCTTAAGGCATGTAAAGCTGTATGACATCTTCCAGAAGGATGGGTTTTGTAGATTGACTAAGAAAAACAAGCCCATAATAAGGGCCCGGATGAGGATCCGGTGTGATCTCAGCCACACGGATAGCACAAAGGTCACTGGGCTGTTAACCATATCCGCTTCCACCCTTGAGGGCAGAAAATAGGTTGTATATCTCTCCCTCTGAAGAGACTGTGCGTTAACATTCCTAGGTCTCCTAGAGTTTATCTGTGATCACAGGAACCTCCCAGCCTCCTACACAAGGAGAAAAGCTTCTTCTCTTTCTTTCTTCCCATTTTGGAGGTTATGACAAGGTTTGCAGATGGTTGCCCTCCTATCTTCGCATTTTCACCCTCGGTCATGAAGTCCTTTTTCTTTTTAAAAGAGGTTCTTTTCCCTCGCAGTTTCAGAGTTTCAGTGAGTTATCACTGTCTCTTTGGGTCTATGGCAGCACAGAAAGCTAATCACCGAATGGCTGGAATGGAAGAGACAGGGAAAGGAAGGGGATGAGGTCCCAGTATTACCATCAAGGTCAAGATTCCAGTGATCAGAGGACTTCCCAAAAGGTTCTACTTAAAAAGAGTGTATGACCAGGCTGGAGAACGGGTCAGAGTATGTAAACTGGCTTAGTATACAAGGTGCTTGCTGTAGATGCCTGAGGGCTGGACCAGATCACATGAGCCCATATAAAAGCTGGCAGCACTCAGGCTCAAGAACAGACCATCCCCTGAGCAAGCTAGCTAGCTACACCATATTGGTGAGTTCTGAGTTCAACAAGCGACTCTCCCTCAACAAATAACATGGAGAATTATCGAGGGTCACAGCTGACATAGATCAGAGTGGCCTAATAGCTCGATTAGCAGGAATGTCTTATTTGCATAGGATAGTGTACATGTCCTCAAGACTAAAATGATAAAATGTCTTCGCTGGGATTAATGTGTTTCCTTATGATTACCCAGTCAGGCTCAGGTGAAAACACGGGCCGCCGTCTCCTTGCAGCTTTTCTTACTGCTTTCCCACAGGGTGCATTAGAGTTAGAGGGCCTATCTCTAATTCAGTCATCCTCTCTGCCCTGGGGAGGGAGAGAGTTCTGTTCATTCACTAATAATTGGTGCATAGAAATATGTCCGCCCCCCCCCCCCCCGGCAAGTATAATTTATGTAGCTTAGCCTTTTGGCAGTCTGATAAAAAATAGTATGTGGCCTACCCTGTAGACCTCCTATTACTGTTTGTGCTCTAGAGGCGTCCTTCATGTGTGCACATGTGCAATTTTTGCCATGGCATGCACAAGAAGTTAAAGGACAGATTGTTGGAGTCAGTTTCTACCTTTTACAATATAGATCCTAGGGGTCAAACTCAAGTTATCTGGTTGTGAGGCAAGCTCGTTTACCTGCTGAGGACCATCTTGACAGTCCTTTGTTCCTACTTTGAAAAGTTTATTGTTGAAGATTTGAAAGTACCTTCATAAATACCACCTCTTCCCACCCAACATAGAGTCACCTGGGTCATAAGAAAAGAGTGTGCCTGCAAATTTCATGATTTCCTTGTTTTTAATTGCTGAGTAGTATTCCATTATATAAATGTACCACAATTTCTGTATCCATTCCTCAGTTGAGGCACATCTGGGTTGTTTCCAGATTCTGACTATTCCAAATAAAGTGGCTACAAACACAGTTGAGCAAATGTCCTTGTTGTGTACTTGAGCATATTTTGGATATATGCCTAGGGTGGTATAGCTGGATCTTGAGGAGGCACTATTCCTAATTGTCTAAGAAAGCACCAGATTGATTTCCAAAGTGGCTGTACAAGTTTACATTCCCACCAATCCTCTCCAGCATGTGCTGTCACTTGAGTTTTTGATCTTAGCCATTCTGATGGTGTAAGGTGAAATCTCAAGGTTGTTTTAATTTGCATTTCCCTGATGACTAAGGATGTTGAACATTTCTTTAAGTGTTTCTCTGCCATTCAATATTCCTCTATTGAGAATTCTCTGTTTAGCTCTGTATCCCATTTTTTAAATTGGATTACTTGATTTGTTGCTTTTTAACTTCTTTAGTTTTTTATATATTCTGAATATTGGCCCTCTGTCAGATATAGGGTTGGTGAAAATCCTTTCTCAGTCTATCTATAGGCTGTCGTTTTGTTCTGACATAGTGTCCTTTGCTTTACAGAAGCTTTTCAGTGTCATGAGGTCCCATTTATTGATTGTTGATCTTATAGCCTGTGATGTTGGTGTTCTGTTCAGGAAGTTGTCTCCTGTGCCAATTAGTTCTAGGCTTTTCCCCACTTTTACTTTTAACCGGTTTAGTGTGTCTGGTTTTATGTTGAGGTCTTTGATCCACTTGGACTTTAGTTTTGTGCAGGGTGATAAATATGGATCTATTTTCATTTTTCTACATGTAGACATCCAGTTACACCAGCACCATTTGTTGAAGATGCTGTCTTTTTTCCATTGTATGGTTTTGGCTTCATTGTAAAAAATCAAGTATCTGTAGGCATGTAGGTTTATTTCTGGGTCTTCTATTCAATTCCATTGATCCACCATTCTGTTTCTATGTCAGTACCATGCAGTCTTTATTACTATTACTCTGTAGTACAGCTTGACATCAGGGATGGAGACACCTCCAGATGATCTGTTGTTGTACAGGATCGTTTTGGCAATTCTGGGGTTTTTGTTTTTCCATATGAAGTTGAGAATTTTTCTTTCAAGGTCTGTAAACAATTACGTTGGTATTTTGATGGGAATTGCATTGAATCTGTAGGTTGCTTTTGGCAGGATGGCCATTTTCATTATTTTAATCCTACCAATCCATCAGCATGGGACATCTTTCAATCTTCTGATATCTTCTTCTATTTCTTTCTTCAGAGACTTAAAGTCTTTTTTGAAAAGGTCTTTCACTTGCTTGGTCGGAGTCACACCAAGGTACTTTATGTTATTAGTGGCTATTGTGAAGGGTATTGTTTCACTAATTTCTTTCTTGGCCCTTTTCTCTTTGGCTATCAAGAAGGCTTCTGATTTTTTTTTTTTAGTTGATTTTGTATCCAGACACTTTGCTGAAGGTGTTTATAAGCTGAAGGAGTTCTCTGGTTGAATTTTTGGGGTTGCTCATGAATACTATCATATCATCTGCAAATAGTGATACTTTGACTTCTTCCTTTCCAATTTGTATCCCCTTGACCTCCTTTAATTGTCTTATTGCTCTAGCTAGGACTTCAAGTACTATGTTGAAGAGATACGAAGAGAGTGGGAAGCCTTGGTAGGATCTAGAAAAGATCATTATTATCCTGAGTGAGGTATCCCAAAAGCAGAAAGACACATACAGTATACACTCACTTATAAGTGGATATTAGACATATTTATAGGATAAACATACTAAAATCTATACACCTTAAGAAGCTAAGCAAGAAGGAGGACCCTGGTTAAGATAATCAATCCTTACTCAGACAGACAAAAGGGATGGATAATCAATCCTTTCTCAGAAAGACAAACGGAATGGACATTGGAAGAAGGAGAAAACAGGAAACAGGACAGGAACCTACCACAGAGGCCTCTGAAACACTCTACCCAGCAGGGTATCAAAGCAGATGTTAAGACTAATAACCAAACTTTGGGAATCTTACAAAAAAAGGGGGAGATAGTAAGACTGGAGGGGACAGGAGGTTCACAAGGAGAGCAACATATCCAAAAAATCTGGGCACAGGGGTCTTTTCTGAGACTGACACTCCAACCAAGGACCGCAGCCAGTCCTGATGAGACCTGATAGCTTAGGGTCAGATGGAAGGGGAGGAGGACCTCCTCTATCAGTGGTCTTGGAGAGGGGCATGGGAGGAGATGAGGGAGGGGGGAATTGGGATACAAAGTGAATAAACTGTAATTAATATAAAAATAAAATTATAAAAATGCAAAAAAAGGAGAAAAGAGTGTGAACTGGAAGCATGGTAGATCCCTCTTGCTACCTGAGAACATTAAAAAATTGTTGTTTAAATCAATTTATTTTCTCTTATCCTGCAAGTTGGCAAGACTTGACTCAGTGGTTCTTGCTTAGGATAGCTCATGTGACTGAAGTCAGATATGAATTGAGGCTGAATACACCTGGGGCTCGACTGAGTAGACACTGAAGATACCTACTGATAATCACTGACAGTGTGCTTTGCTGCAGTCGGGACTCTCACCTGTGTTAGCAGCTGGAGCACAGCCCTGACTGGAGGCTTGGAGTACTGAGAGTAGAGTAACTTGTCCTGACAAATATTCTCACAGCAAGTATTCTAAGAAGCAGATGTCACCAGGCCCAGGCTAGGTGTAGGACCAGCGGAGCACCACTTTTGCTGCATTCCACGGGTCACACAGACATGTATAGGATTTGTGCACATCCACACTGATAGAGAAAGAATCTCCACCTCTGGTTAAAATAGCAGTGGCTCTCAAGGCAGAAAGGCATATCAAAAGGGAGGTATGTTAA